ACCAACCAACATTTTTTCTACCAACCAACCAACCAACCAACCAACCAATTAACCAACCAACATTTTTTTAACCAGCCAGCCAGCCAGCCAACCAACATTTTTTTCAAACAACCAATTAACCAACCAACATTGTTTAACCAGCCAGCCAGCCATCAAACCACTCTCTTTTTCAACAAACCAACAAAAGGTATGAATCTAACCTTTTAACTTCTAGCATAATAGCAGATTTTTGAAAAATGACATTACGTTGAAATGCTGACTAACATACTACCCTGATGAGCTTTAAAAAAGACGTTTATCTGGGCAGCAGTAGCTCAACAGGTTGAGCGGGTTGTCCAGTAATCGGAAGGTTGCAGGTTCGATCCTGGCTCTGGATAGAGAATTCTGCTGTTGTGTCCCTGGGCAAGACACTTAACCCACCTTGCCTGTTGGTGGTGGTCGGAGGGTCCGGTGGCGCCTGCGCTCGGCAGCCTCGCCTCTGTCAGTGCGCCCCAGGGCAGCTGTGGCTACATTGTAGCTCATCCCCACCAGTGTGTGAATGTGTGTGTGAATGGATGAATGATACACTGTAGTGTAAAGCGCTTTGGAGTCCTTATTCTGAGAGGCGCTATAAAAGTGTGGGTCATTTATCTCTTATAACTGTCTTCTTTTTTCACATTAAAACTTCATTTTCAGCTACTTGAGAGTTTTGAGAACAATCAAACGACAACCAAACCAACAATCAAAAAAGAAACAACTAAAGAAAAAACACACTTGTGGGGATTGTTGGAGACAAACTAAAATGAGGTTGAAAAGTTAACCAGTGATCTGAAATAATTCCTTTTTGTTTACTATTTAATCAAAAGTGTTGATAAAAGAAGAAAAAACATTCAATTAAATGTTTATTGATTGAAAAACTGACCAATTTAATGCTAGTGAGTATAAAAGATCATTTTCAGACATGAAAAACAGAAATAATGACTGTAAAATAAGCTAATCACTAATCATAAATTAAGGTGTATAGGCAAAGTAAAATAAAGCTCATGTTGCAACAATAATTAATTTTCCACTTCTGGAATATATTGTTGGTGTATTTTAGACTTGCATATACGTAGATGATAAATCAAAATGAACAAAAATGAATCAAACACAAGCATCACATTTGCCTCCAGCAGCCTGTATAATGTACTAGTTTGTGGTAGATTCAGCTGAAACTGCATGTACATTTTTTGCTCATCCAGTAAAATTAGCATCACCCCTATTCATTTTAAGTTTTTAAAAGCTTCACATTTCAAAAGAACTTGCATAAATAAGGAATTCCATCCAGAGTCTTTCACTTAGAGCATGGTTTGCAGTTTATTTTCTTATCACACTTCCTGAACAGGGAAATGGGGAATTATCACACACATGCAGTAAGTGTGAGTTAAGTCTGTAAGAAGATTTATTTGCATAAGCGCACAGGCGAAGTGACTTCCTGTGAAACCGCCTCGGATAAGAAAAAGCTTTACTAATGTTATAATAATACATAACAGCTGTACTGAGGAACGCTTTTCAAAGGTTATTTTTCCTGTAAAATCCCAGAGTATTAACAAAATGTTAGGTATTAGAGCAGTTCTTTCATCTTTCACTAATGGATGCTAACAAATGCACATATAGAACAGCCTCTGCAAAAAGTAACTCAGTTCTGTCTGAAAAAAAAAGTTCGCCATTTGAATTCTCATGCAATGCCTTTTGCAGTTTTCACTTTAGCTTTATAAGAAAGCATTTGGAGACGTTTTTGGAACAAAAAGTCAGTTTTCTTCATTCTAATTGAAGAACAACATGTGATTGTTTAAACTTTAGATGAAATCTGTAGAATTTACTAATTCTGTATGAATTGTGAATAAAGAATAACTCATTTTTTTATTTCTTTTGGTATAACTTTGTCGTTTTCTATTTTCTTTGCTTCTGACCAACACTTCTCATCCATGTAATGTCTCTGCATGAATTTCAATGAACGTGGCACCTTCGTTGGAGACTCATTGTGCTTCCGTTATCAGTGTGAAATTTCTCACAGGCGTCCAGCAATGCTAAAGGTCACTGCTGCTGACAGCCTGAGGCATGCCTACACAAGTGTATTCAAATCATTAGAGAGCATTGTGACTTGGTGAAAAAAATCCAAGCTCCCAGCTATGAAATTTCCTAATGATGATTTATTTTTTCAGATGTGTAATTTATACATATTGGTTGGATAAACATGATTTAATCATGGTGCATTTATTTGCATTTTAATCTACATAAACTTATATTACACTGTTAATTCACCCACAATAGCATCAGAAATCCCAAAAATAGCTGTAAATCTGCCAGTTTTTGAGATACTGAGAATGAGATGAAATAGGGTTGGTGGAGAGTGGATGGATGAATAAATCTAGAAGTACTTAGTGCTGGATGAGAGAAAGAGGTAACAGATCCTTCAAACTTGAAGCGGGGGCGCCTCCAGAAAATTTTGATGGGGTGGCCAGATGGGGCCAAATACATTATTGGGGTGGCACAGCAGATTGGTCCGTGTGGTAACTCTGGGAGAGTTGAGCCTGTGGCAATGTATTGCACTGCTCCTTTATTCATTTTTATTTAAAAAGAAAAACAACAGTACATATCCAAAACATTTAAAGCTTCCTTCCAGAGTATTTCTCTTATTCAATGGCACCATCAAGTGGCTGAAGGGCATATCACACAAAAACGCTGTTCCTCTGTTTTTTTAAGATGGCGACTTCACGTTTCTGTTTATAAATGTGCTTCTGTAGCCAACAAACAGAGCTAAAACACGTTGTTTTATGAGTATTATTCTCATGTCATGTTGTGTTTTCATATATTTATATTTTAGAGACTTTCTTGTCCGTGAAAAGTTCATCAACTCTGCATCAGCCGAGGTATTCCTTAAATGTGAAGCGTCTAAGCGGTAGTCTAACGCTATTGGTTAGTTCTGGTCGGCGCTCAGTTTCCTATTGCACTGAGCTCTGCGGTGCTGCTCAATGAGGAGCTGCTCAATGTGCCCACAACTTGTGCGGAGGGTGATGTGGGTTGTTCATGATGGACGTCAGCTTAGCTAACATCCTTCTCTCACACACCACGAGCTACTTGTGTATGCAAACTTGTTCTTTCAACCATTAAAGCCAAAGCTTGTGACAATAGGTGAGGATTCGGGTGAAGATCAACCAGCATGTTAAAAGCAATGGTACTGCAATGGTTTGTCTAGATTTCCAGGCTAACACGGAACGACTACGAGAATTCCAAATGAAACACTAGGAAATCTATATAAGTGAACATGGTGTTGACTCAACAACCCAGCACCAGAGAATGAACGGAGGCATCTTAACCAGCAAAATATCTTAGATCTCAATATATGTCATAGAAACAGAAAACTATCTTCTGGAGGCAACAAGGCACTGTCTCCAGCTCCAACCAAAGCAAATTCTGCAGTTGAACAGAGATGAGGAGAGGAAACATGGTTCCTCTGGTGGTGGTTCAAGCTAAAAATCATTCAGTCACAGGAGCTCTAACAAAATAGTTTGAGATTCGACCAAAATGGCCATGACTTTGTCAAATTTCAACATTAGAAGGTCTTAGTTTGGAACTCTGGGATCCATAAAAGAAGGTGATATGCCTTCAAGCAACACAATGCCTTAAATTTACTTTAAAAGTGAATTTAGAAATCTCTGCATCACTTGTCTGTGCACTTTCTAATTGTAACGATAAAAGGATAATTATAGGCACAAATTGTTCCGGGAAGAAACAAATACATAAATGCTTTTTTTGTTCTGCTTTTATTACAACGGCTACACACACACACACACACACACACACACACACACACACACACACACACACACACACACACACACACACACACACACACACACACACAAATAAATACCAAAGGCACCGTGAAGTCTACGTGACTGCAAAAAGGTAACACTATTTCTAAATATTTCGCCCAGTAGAGAACAGTGTGGACATGTGTTACTATCACACCACAGTGTTTCCTCTCATGCAACCCAAGTTCATAAGAAATCAGGTTACGAGAGAAATCTGATCAACGCAGGAAGCTGCAGAGCAGGAGCGCGTGTAACGGGATGAGATCAAGATAAAACAGAGAAAATGGGCGTGTTTCTGTCAGCTGAGAGGACAGTTTGGCACTCTTTTTCAACATTTCTGACAGTTTGACTTTAAAATTTGAACGTGTTCATAATGGAAACTTAACTTTTGTCTAATTAGTGCAAAAACACACAGATAATAAAATTAGATTGATATTTACATATCAGCTGTTTAATAAATATCGCAGTTAACTCCTTCTAAAAGCCCCCAAAGATTAAAACAGCCATTTATCTGTTCAGCCAATCAGCATTTAATGATCTCTTTCCTCTGTTGTTTTAGTTTTCTTTCTGAATTAAGGAAGTTTTGAAATTGGACATTTATGTAACTCTAGCTCCCCCTCATGGTAGCTTTGACAAGTGTAATAATATGATATTTCAAACCTAAAAAACAGCTGACATTTGTCTCTTTAATAAGCCTATAAGCCACATTTAGAGCACATAATAACTCATGCATGATAAAAATGACTCACATTGATATTAGGAACAATTATTTGTGTCATTAGGACGCAAACATGGGCTGATCTGAAATTAAGATTTCTAGAAGTCAGGGCAGAGGACATGTTTGCTGCAAAGCTTTATCGGCTTATCTATGACAGCTTTATTTTCTCACTAAGGTCTTCCTGCTCCTGCAGAGTCATTGAAAGAAAGGAAAAAGTGCAGCTGAGCTCTCTGGACCTCTAATCAAGTCAAGATAATCAGCGCGAGGACTGTGTGGAAATGAAATGACAACTTTTTATCAGCAGCGGTCACCTGTCTTGGGTTTCTGAGTTGAGTAATAACAAGATCAACACTTTCTATATCATTCATCAAACTTCATGATGAATAACGGTCACTGCTGCCATGACAACAACAAATACAATTAATTGCAGGTGCAAAAGTGTCATATCTTCTTGTGGACAGTAGCAGCAGTGGTGGAGCAGGGAGGGAACAACCACTTTGATCGCTCCGCCCCTGCTGCAGCGTCTGATGACATCATGAAATGAATGAATGATCACTGTGGGTTAATGTTGTTGTTGTGGGCTCTCTGGTCTCCCCGCCCACCTGTCTGGGCTATAACTGCCCTCAGCAGCCGGCAGTCAGACAGCAGCCTCCTCACCCTCACATGGATCTCATGTAAGATTTCCACTAAAGAAATGGAAGCCAATGTTGTTGTTATGGGGACAGAAAGTGTCGGAAAATCAGGTAAAAACAAATACTCCATACTAAATGTAGTATTTTTTTGTATAGAAATAAAAAAAGAAGATTTATTTCATTATACTCTCTCCAGCTTTGACTGTGCGCCTTTTAACTCGGAGATTCATCGGAGAGTATGGAGACATTGGTGAGTATATTATGTTTTTGATTGTTTTTTTAACCTAAATCTCAGTCCTGAGCTTTTCTCTTGTATTCCAGAATCCATCTACAGTCACAGTTTTACAATAGAAGGGAGGGAGCTGACCCTTAACCTTTGGGACTCACCCTACTTTCAGGTAATGATGAGATTTACACTTTTATTCTATTTACATACAGTTTTAAATGGCTGCAATCAGATAGGACAGAGTAAAAATAGGACTGGGTGATTTTAATTTTTCAATTTTTTTTTTGCTATTTTGAAACAGTGAATCCGACATTTTTCCCTACTTATGTTTTTACTTAACATGTAATGATTGGTGCTTACACATGTTTTTGCCTCCAGCTTTTGTTGCTGCATGTTAACAAATTTCCCTAATTTCCCAGCATCTGTCTGTGGAGACGTCACCCTTCCATAAGAAGGTCCGGTGGGCAGATGGCTTCATTCTGGTCTACAGCATCTGCGACAGGGCCAGCTTCAACGCCGTTAGCAAACTCATCCAGAGCATCAAGTCCACCAAAGACTTCCTCCGTGAAGATAAAGTGCCCATAGTGATCGTGGGTAACAAGCGGGACCTGCACCACAGACGGACTGTGCTCAGTGAAGAGGGCCGGCTGCTGGCTCTGAACATGGACTGCCTCTTTTACGAGGTCTCAGCAGCTGAGAACTACGACAGCGTGCTCACCATGTTTCACGGACTCATGGAGAGGATCAAGGAGGCCAAGCTGACCATTAAAAGGCCTCAGAGGTTCAAGGGCATAGTGAAAAGCATGTCTGCAGTGTTTACCAGGAGACGGACAGATTCCTTCTGAGAGGCTGCACGTTTTCCAGATGGATAAATGGTTTGTCGTTCTTGGAAATATTTTTAAAGACTCTGGATGAGAAAAGCCATTAAAACACAAACAGAAAAAATGCCACTAAAGTTCCCAACAACTCAAGAGACACAAATATAAAAAGAGTGAAATATTCTCAGTTCTTCTTAACATGCTTCTATGGCCTCTTAGGACTCTTTATAGAGGACACTGGCTTCTTGCACTACAATATTTTATGATGTTTGTTTTGTTTAGGAAGTATTGAGTTGAATTTTCTAAGTCTTTAAATAGTTATTTATGGAGAAAAGTTGTTAATTTAACCAAAAATGTTTTATTAGGACTAAAAAGACCATCGGTAATTTAAGCCAGATCAGATCATTTCTGAGTGACAAACACAAATAAAGAAAAGATAAGAGACCAGGGACGATCACGAGATGTAAAGATTTGATCACATTCTTTAGTCATTTAAACAATGAACTGACACTCAGTGTTTTAACCACTTCAGCTCTTTGATAACTTAATTAAAATTTTACTTAAAACAAAACAATCCTTTGCAACAACTCACATCACCTACTGCCTTTCACGCCAGGTTTCTAAACAAAAATGTTTTCATGTAGCAAAATGAACGGAGTTGAATCCTGAATGTAATGTTTTACATTAAACCCCTCAACTTGTTGGGACCTGGAGGAAAACTGTCTTTTTGGTGATTGATAATGTTGATTTGTTATGACAGTTATTTTGATTTAGATCAGTTGTAGATTTACATCCAATGAAGAATAAATTACAGTTTTATTCATTCTGGGTTCTGGTTGGATGTCTGGTAAAGTTAGCAGCTTCATGTCCTGCAGGACCAAGTTTATAAGTCAGGTGACATGGTTAATAAATAAAGGATTTGCTTTTAAAGATTGATATGTGCTGGTATATATATATATATATATATATATATATATATATATATATATATATATATATATATATATATATATATATATATATATATATATAACTAAATGTATTTGTACAATAAGTTGTTTTGGTAATTATTTGCATTAAAACATGTTTTTTTTTACATTATATCATAGAACTAACTTGAACTTATTATTGTATTTGATTATTTTTTCACCCTATTGTGGGTTGTGTTTGTTGTTCCTAAAATTATTTGTTTGATCTTGAAAAGCGCTGGCGGCCGATACGTTGATCTATTAAAGTTTTTATTTCCCATTAGGAGCTGAAGTGTACTTCACATTTTTAAAAGTTCTTCCTGACGCACATTAAAGTCTTTCAAGACAGTTTGAAACTCTAATTTGTGAAGACTTTGCATCCAGATCTGAAGCAGAATGGATTTCTTGTTGGTTGCATCATTCTAGAGAAGCAGAACTGTCTCACAACATAAATACGCACACACACACTCATGCAACGTGACAGCCTGAAAGAAGGATTTTTGATGGGTTCAATTAGTCAAGACTTAGAGATCCATCCATCTTTACTTTTAAAGCACATTTAAAACACAGCATGGAGGCTGACCTAAGTGTTGTACGTTCGTGGCAAGGAGGTCATAAAATCTACGGTAATTAAAACTTGGCCAATAAAAAATGAGAACAGAAAATAAAACATTCAATAAAATATAAAAACAATTCAATGGGTAAAAGTATGTAAAAAGAAGAAGGTAAGATGTCCGATATTATCGGTCCACCATTAACATCGATCAATATCGGCATTAAATGAAATCGGCAAATATCGATATTGGTTTTCAATCTTTTAATTACACAACTTTTATATACCATACACATATTATACATCAAAATCTTCAGCTACTTCTCCCCTCTTTCAAAATGTCAGATTACAGATCTGATGTTCAGCTTATGAGATATTCTAGTTTATGAAGATCTTTCTAAATGTTTTATCACCATAGCTACATACAGAAAAAACAGTACTAACTAATAAACACATCCTAGCCTCACACTTATGTAAATATGACATTTTTCCCATTATTAATTTAAATGGAAGTATTTGTCATTTTGCACAGAAAATGTTAAAATTTAAGCATGCATGAAATGATATACATGATGTTAGTAACCTAAAATGTAGTTTTTTTTAATGAGAGAAGGACACAGCGAATATCAGTATCGGAAATAAAGAGTCAGACAAAATCGAATATCGAATATCAGTGAGAAAGCCAATATCGAGCAACCCTAGCGGTCAGGACATATTCTAAAGTTCCTCCTGGACCTTCAGACATTGATTGTAAACAGGATTTGTCTTGTGGGTATCTGGTATCTCTGTAAATATTATACTGATCTGAGATACTACAGTACTTACTTGGGATCTCATCCCAGTATATAGACCACTGATCTGCAGATCAAAACCTACAATCAGGTCTGTTCAGGTCTGGACTGAGGAGGCCTCCTCAGCACATCAGGACTGTTTTGAGTCTACTCACTGGGACGTCTTTAAAGAGGGCTCAGATCTTACACATCAGCTGTTCTATCTTATGAGAAATTTTGCACTGACGCCATTCTACCCACAAAATTTATTAAAGTTTTTCCGAATCGGAAGCCATGGACGAACGATCCTGTGCACTCCCTACTCATAGCCCTAGATGCTGCATACAGGGCTGGTGACAGGCTGGCATACAGCAATGCCCGGAGAGACTTGAAAAAAGACAGATACCAGTTAACCTACAAGGGGAACCGGTCAACTGAGGATGCTGTCTCTATTGCACTACACACCACTCTGACACATCTGCAGCATCATAACACTTATGTTAGGATGCTATTCATTGACTTCAGCTCGGCTTTCAACACCATCATCTGAGACAAGCTGACAGTGAAACTCTATAACCTGGGACTCTGTGCTTCAATGTGCCTCTGGATCAGGGATTTTCTCACTAATAGGCCTCAGGTGGTGAAAATAGGAGACCAAACATCATCCACCATGATTCTAAACACAGGGACACCACAGGGCTGTGTGCTCAGTCCAGCTCTCTTCACATTATTTACCCACGACTGCACAGCCCTCCACCCCTCAAACATTGTTTTGAAGTTTTCAGATGACACCACCATAGTGGGTCTCATAACAAACAATAATGTAACGTGAGGAAGTGTGGGTTTTCTGTCACAAAGCTGGTGTTTGACCCGACCTCCAAGTCCAACACCTCCGGGTCTTTGGACATCTGAACACCTACTCTTTCAGCACGATTCAGGTGACGCTGTGCATCTTCTTGGTAATAGGGCTTTTAAGAACTTAAGAACTGTTCTTTGTTATGCTTCTCCTGTCTCACAGACACGGCATAAGTTTGAGAAACAAAAGGGGGGTGGGGAGCCTCCTCCTGCTTTGCGAGCATCATTTTCGCATTTCCAGTTCACTACTATTTCTGATCACAACAAAGTCGCCTCCGTAAAGCTGCAACCCAACTTTGAGCAGGTAAAATCAGGTTCTGATCTAACAATTAAACCATCAGCTTCACTCGAGTTCCGGACGGAACCCTCAGGTAAATTCAAAAACGTTTCCCTGTGGGTTCGTAACACAAGATACAAACAGTTTGATAACCAAATCGCTTATGAGCCTGCTCCCACAGATACGTCCAAACTCGTGTCTCTGTGGGTCCGCAATACCAGATTCAAAACGCTTACTGAACAACACTGTTCTGACCAACTCTATTCTGACCGGATTCTCATCCACTAACTGGTGGACCGTTACAAATTCTCTCGTTTGTGGGATGAATTTTTAACAAATGTGATATCCTTTGAATTTTTTTTCAGGTTGCCTGCCTCCAGCCAGGACACCTGCTACTAACTCACATTTTTAGGGATTATTAACCTGCTGAGTTACATTTTAGAATTGATTTACATCTCTATCTTTTTATTAGTGCTTTGTGTAGCATGATTATATTTGATTACAAATTTAATTTTATTGTGTTACTATTTCCCTTAAAGGGCCACAAGCCAATTTGCCCTTCATTTTCATGATTATTTCTTTTATATATATACCTTTAATTAGTGCAGCCTGCTGAGTTTCACATATCAGTTAGGATTTACTTTCTTTTATTTGTGTTTTCTCTGCATCACGTTTTTACATGACATGTAGAACAGGGTGCAGAACATTTCTTCTTTAGATAATTCACAAAAGGCATCCACATTTTCCCAGAGGCACCCATAGATAGGTTTTGATTGATTTCTTTGATTTGCATCAAATGCTATCTATCGTGTGGGCTGTCTCACTTTGTCTCCTTCTCCGAGCTCGTATGGACTACATCCCATCAGAGGGGTCGTCTTCACCATCCTTCAACTGGTTTCCTGTCGCATGGGGCTTCGGTCGTGGTTCGAGATGGGTCGAGGTCTGCGCTGGACTTCACTTGGATTACGCCTGAGGAATACATCACCTGCCCAGCTCCGTGTGACACACGAGCTGCTTATCCTTTGAATACCTTTGCATTATTGCTGATGAAATTAACTGCTATTGGCATAGCTCTGCTTTCAAGATTTCCTAAGTGGATTACTTTACAATGATTGCAACGGTTTTGGCCTTAATCATCTGATCAGGATATACTCCCTTCTACACGAGACCTGTGGAGACGCTTCATCGTTCCTGCCTTCATCTGGGATGTCTACCTTCACGAGTACATCACGTTATTGAGGTTGTGACGTCAGGTGGCCTCTGCTTGACCACCATGTCGTCACAAAAGGGGGGAATGTAACGTGAGGAAGTGTGGGTTTTCTGTCACAAAGCTGGTGTTTGACCCGACTGGGTCGCTCAGAACTTTAACACACAGATTGGAACCTTTGCAGACATGAAGTCTGCGAGAGTCTGGAAGAAGCCATAACATCAGCCACCTGCAGCGTCCAGAAGACGTGTTTCCATGAGTTGTACCCAGACCAAGTCAAAACATAAAGTTTAAACTTCCTTTTCTTGTTTTGAATGTTAAAAGTTTAATCATCAATTTGCTCATTATAAATGTGTTTTAATCAAATGAATGATTATTATGCTTTGGGTAATTATAAGAGATTTAATTAATCCATTCTTAATTAAATGTTAATGTTGAGAATGTTTGTTACTGACCTTCACACCCACACTCAAACACACCCACACACAGATTCTCACAGTAAACTCCAAAACACATTTGCTTACGCACACGTTTGCTTTGAGAAGAGAAAGGCTTTTGGTAAGTTTCAGTCTTATGATGGCAGTTCGTGCTTGACAACGAAAGAGAGAGGACCTGAAGAAACCGAAGGGGGGCAGAGCCGGTTGGCTCGTTTCTCCCCCCCTCACGCTGTTCCTGTCAGCCAGACAGAATAGCTGAATCGCAACTTCTAACGCAGACTCATACAGAGTCTTTGATTCCTGAGTGAATTAACTTAAGAAAGCGCATCGACAAAACGCTTTACCATCAACGTGTACCGAGGGCAACTCTGGACCGGTTCCGTTCGACACCTACGTCTCCCCTGTCAGCCGCTGGTGTCATCTGGATGAACCATCACCATCCTCCACGGCCCGGATCCGAAAGAGGGTCCACAAGAGTTCGGTGAGACAGAGCACGGTGTTTAGCGTTTGATGCAGTTCTCTGATAAGACCTAAGTTTATCCAAACCATCACTTCACACCTGTTTCTTCCTGAAGCAAAATCAGACTCACACACGCATTCATATCGCAACATTCTCAATCTTCATAAATTCACCACAAGGTCTATTTGATCATATCAACTGTTAAAGATTGTCCCACAAGTTGCCAATGTTGATTGTTATTCCCATGTTTGTCAATTTCAAAATCATTAGTCTAGTTTGAAGAATTAAAACTTTTAATTTCCAAACTTGTTTGTTCATTGAACTGAAACACAGACACACAGATATTATCGTCAGTTTATCCATGAAAACAACCTTTGAGTCTTCTTAACAATATAAAATTTGGTTATTGATTT